GTGCGCGTGTATGTGCGTGTGTGAGTGATATATATATATGTGTGTGTGTGTGTGTGTGTGTGTGTGTGTGTGTGTGTGTGTGTGTGTGTGTGTGTGTGTGTGTGTATAGTGTTTGTGTGTGTGTGTGTGTGTGTGTGTGTGTGTGTATGTCTGTGTCTGTGTGTGTATGTGTGTGAATGTGTGTGTGTGTGTGTGTGTGTGTGTGTGTGTGTGTGTGTGTGTGTGTTGTGTGTGTGTGTGTGTTTACACTGTTTACACGTGTGAATGTGTGCTTGTAGTTTGTGTTCTCGTATGAAACATACATATTTGTTGCAAATCCTCTATCGGGCTTAGCTAGAAACGCAGACTTTGTCGTTGCGTTTCATCTATTCGAACATTCACCAATACGCGAATATTGATATTAGGCATCATCGTATACTATTACTAATATGAAGGTCACGGGTCTAGTTTTGTTTGAGTAAATCTATCGCAGAACCACCTACCAGCATATACAACTGCGAAAGCATTTACTTACAGCAAATGTCTGCCTATTGGCAGCTGTATACGTGGATTAAGTTATATATATATATATATATATATATCAGTTCCCCATGTCGTGTAAAATTCCATAACCCGAAAGCATTTACTTACAGCAACTGCATGCCTATTGGCAGCTGTATACGCGGATTAAGTTACATATATATATCAGTTCCGTATGTCGTGTAAAATTCCATAACCCGAACCACTTACCAACAGCTTTTTAAACTTTTCTGGGAGATCCGACGCCCGATGCGGTATATGCAGATCGCCTAGTACCAAGACCAACTGTTAATATGAAGAAGCGAACAATAATCAGTTGATTATTGATATGAATATTCTGACAACCGCTTTCTAACTAGTGCGGAAGATAGCTGAGGGGAAACGTGCACGCAAGAATCCTCTGTTGCTGAAAGTGTGGGCATATCGAATTAGCACTCCATACCATTCTGATTGTTTTGGATAAGATCTGAGGCACTCTTAGATTTTGCTTTGCCTTTTTGTAATATTTTGAAGAAAAAAAAGAGCGCACTCGGCAAGCGCACGTTTTATTTGGGTGAATATTTCTGTATGTTATATTGTATTTGATTTTTTAATCATAGTACACTGATATAGACGAAGCGTCACCTGAGAGGGTCAGATCCGTGTATGTACGTACATTTGACATCGGCGGCGGCTAGTCGATTAGATAGATAGGATTGATAAACATTCGCCATGCATACCTTATTGAAAATTATCGGCACGGCAACGGGGGATTCGTCTCCTAGCGTCATGTTAGTGTTCGATAAGAAGAAATACTTGTTCAATTGCGGCGAAGGCTTCCAACGCCTGGCTACGGAACAAACTGCCAAACTGGCTAAAGTGGACTCGATCTTTCTCACACGCCTAAGATGGCGTAATTTAGGAGGCCTTCCCGGTGTACTACTCTCCTTGGCTGGTATTGGAGCGACCAGCGTCACAGTCCACGGCCCTGCGAACTTACATCACTTTTTCCACGGCACAAATAACTTCATGAACACAGGTCTTTTAGGGGTGAATGTGCGAGAATATGACTTTAAACATGCGGGGGAAGATGGTCAAACAAATTCCACAAGTAGCACAAAGCCTGTAGATGTATACAACGATAGATTTGTAAAAATTACACCGGTTTTAATACAGCCGTTGCGACAAGATGAAGAACCAGAGCTGAAGCGAGCACGCACAGACACAGGTAGCGAGGTTCGTAGTCACGATCAGACCTACACCCCACTGACAGAGGAACAAAAGAAAGTTATGCTTGCGCACCTCGCACCGGCGAAATCTAGGTACAACGACTTGATACATCAGCAGATACCTGCGCCGAAGAAGGGTGTTCAAAACGATGTAGTTTGCTATATGTGCGAGTTACAACCCGCCCCGCCAAAGTTCGACGCCAAGAAGGTGTGTTAGTAATACTGTGACTTCATTCGATATATTGGTATTCTTACACGCGCGTATCAGTGTGAGTAAATATATGCTTGGACTTGTGTAGCCACCACACATATATTTATGTATGTGTGTCTGAGTCTGTGTCGTGTATACATGCATGCACAAACGCACATACATATGGACTACTGTGTGTACTGAAGTTGCAAATTGGTAACCGACCTGCATTTCTGTCCATCCTGCGAAACTTGAATTGATTTCTAGTATACGGCCCACAATTCTGACTCACTAGTCCGTTGTATTGATATTAGACTCCCAAGATACTTTAGTATTCAGGTATTATTAAATTGTCTTGTGTGACTAAAATTTGCTGCACTGGTGTCGATTTTTTTTCTAGGCGGTCGAACTTTGTATACCAAAGGGATCGATTCGTGCGGATCTAGTGAAGGGTAAGACAATCACGCTTAAGGACGGTACAGCAATCACGCCCGATATGGTCACGACCAAATCGCCGAAAGGCTATACGGTTTTGATTATTGATTGCCCGAGTGCAGATTATATTCCAGCGCTTACCGCTGCTCCTGAATGGAAGGTCTCGCAAGCCACCGACGACAGCTCCAACCCACAGCCACTTGTGGTGGTGGTGCACAAATCACCTATCAGTGTTTTGAATGACGAGCGATACGCCACGTGGGCTGCGTCATTTGGCAAGACAGCCGACCACGTGCTTATAAATGAGGATCTATGTGACCAGTCAACTGTATACAAGAGTCAGGAGCGCTTACAAGCCAAATTGAATATCATTGATGAGAAGATCTTCGCGATGCCGGATTTCTCTACAAGAGATCCCGCTGCCGCAATATCTGCGCTTGACTTTGAAGTAGTAAGTTGAGCTATTTGAGATTTGGAGAGAAGTATCTTGCACGCGAAATTTTAGTAGCTTCTAAGTGGTGCTTACTCTAACCCATTTGAATATTCACGAAGTGCATCGGTAGCTTCTATACCAATCGCGCGCTCATCATATTTCAATAATACCATCATATTTGTCACAGTTCAGAACCCAAGGCCGCGTGGGATCGCCACAGATGGAGTACCGACTGGAGCCTGCTAAGAAAGCTGGCTTTCTGCCACCGGCGATAGATTTGCACAATAGTCTATTCACTATCATGTGCGAGGCAAAAGAGATTCTGGCTGAAAATCCTACGACTGACGGACAGTCAGACGAGGCAAAAGAGATTCTGGCTGAAAATCCTACGACTGACGAACAGTCAGACGAGGCAAAAGAGATTCTGGCTGAAAATCCTACAACTGACGAACAGTCAGAAACGAAGCATCAATTTCCACACGCGGATAAGGATGTTGAAGTCCTATTTCTTGGAACTGGGTCGGCCATACCTTCTAAGTACCGAAATGTAAGCTCGACCGCGTTACGTATTCCTGACATCGGGTCGATTATGCTCGACAGCGGTGAGGGCACGTACGGACAGTTGAGGCGGATGCTTGGAAGAGAGGGTGTGCAGAAGTTCGTTGATGATATAAAGTGCGTGTACATATCACACATGCACGCCGATCATCATCTAGGTCTGATTCAGTTACTCGCCAATCGATCCGCTTCGTGTCCGCCGTTACTGGTCGTTGCTCCCAATAAAATGAGAATCTGGCTGAACTTATACAGTGCCCTCGAGCCTATCAGCTTCGAATTTGTTTCAGCGAATGCTATGAGCGGTGGCTATAAGGCAAACAACCATTTGCACCAGAAAGCGCTTCTGGCGAGTTTGCGTAAGCAGATGGGTATTACCTTGGATTGCGTCGGCGTTATACATACAAAAGACGCTACCGGCGTGGCTCTTAGTCACGAGTCAGGCTGGAAGGTTGTCTACTCCGGTGATACCAGGCCTTGTGGAAAGTATGTGTATAACTGTTATTATGAATCGTGTTGAAGGATTATGAAACTCTTACGAAGATTGTCGGGCTCTGATATTCACCAAATAGTCACTGTCTGAACTTAATCGGATGAATTGTTATGAAACGCTTTGCAGGATTGTGAGGCACTTAATTTTGAGGGAGTTAAGTAACAGTACAATCTGATCTAACCCCCCATACCATCCTTGCAGACTTGCCGCTGCTGGAGCAGGCGCAACTATTTTGATACACGAAGCGACGTTTGAAGAGGAGATGCTTGCGGAAGCAAAGGCGAAGAATCATAGGTAAGTTCAGTCGATTCTGCTTGTACCCCTTGTAGATCCTTTGCGCCTTTTCCGCCTTGACTGGACGTCTACTATTTTATACGGTTTTTACTGACTCCAGACCTATTCTTTTGTCGTGCTTGTGTGCAGCACCACGATGGAAGCCGTTTTAGAAGGGGGCAAGATGAACGCCGGACTTATTGTTCTGAATCATTTCAGCCAACGGTACCCTCAGGTGCCGAAAATCGATGCTCGCTTCACCGACAGGACAGCAATTGCATTCGATCTCATGCGATTCGGTATGTATCTCGAATTTTACTAATGATCAACAAATTTCACCTCCGGTTGTAGCTTAACGAGACAGGCCAATCTCGTGCATACTTATTACTTTTTTGTTTGATCTACAGAATTCAAAGACATGCCTCGTCTTCCGAAAATGCTGAGCAGAATACAACTCCTGTTCTCTGAGGAAGAGGCTAGGCTGCATGAAATCACAGAGGCCAGAGAGTGTTGATTGTCGTGCACACAATCCGCTTACGTAAACCCACGTAGAATGACGGTGTAAATTACTGAGCATCTACGGCGGCCATGAATAGCTTGGTAGAGAGTGTAGTGTGAGAAAATTATACTGTCTTACCCACGGGTAACGGCCACGCGTCGATCAGAAGCGAAGGTCTGTATCCGAATACAAGCACACCAGACCTTTGACAACGCTTCTTGACGCCCGGTACTATAGCATTCAGTCATACCAGAAGATATGGAGAAGGTAGAGGGGGGACGAGAGAATCGGCCTCGCAGAAGCTCGCTCGAGAGCTCTTGAGGGTGTCACAGGAATGCTCCGGGTCAAATTATAGGCGGGAAGCATCTAATTCTTCGTCGCGCTCTGTCGTGGTTCAGAAAAAATGCACTATGAGCGACAAACTCATAGGGCGCCAATGCCACTCTCGTCGCTTAGACGGCACGCGTACGGACTAAAAATTGAAACAGACAGTCGACTCACCTTCAAAGCATGTTTGATTGCCGCCTCTTGGAGCACATCTTGCTCCTTCTCCCTCCTCTTCACTTTGCGCTTCTTGCCTGTCAGAGGTGGTACATGTACAAGTGTAAGATGACAATTTAGCGTGTGAACCGAGAGTGTAGTTCAGCAGCGGCTGCTACAAAGCAATAGTATGTGCAAGCACCGTAGCACGAACTTATCAGCAGAAACCGAATTGCATAACAATGTGCTGAGGTTTATTAGCAAATAAAGCACAGTCTGACAATACAGCGCAGGTCCCATGTAAATACCTTTATCTTGGAATGATCGCCAGTCACTGACACGAGAGTCTCTTTTGTCTTCCCAGACCTTGTCGGCTTCTGCTTTTCTTTTCCTTTTCTCCTTCTCCTCCTCTATTTCTTGTTGCTTCGCAGCTGCATTATTTTGCGACCCAGCGAATTAGAATTAAACATTATCTACTACGAGAATTGCAAACCAACTTGCGCCCTTAGTAAGAGAATCATATATGCTTGCTAAAGTGTCATTGAATAAACATACTTTCTTCTTCAGCCATTCGCTTTTCAAGCTGCCGCTTTCGCCACTCAATATCTCCCAGAACTTTGTTGGCTCTTGCGACCACTATGTCCTTGAATGCCTCAGTTTTGACAGCTGGATCATCGGCTTCGATTTTCTTCTCGTGCATCACCATGTCTAGAGCATCTTGAAGAGTTTGCTTCATCACCCGTCTTTGATTTTTGTCTTGGCAAAGTTTCTGATGTTAGCGGCGTGTGCGATAATACATGACAATCATAAGTACGATTGAATGACCAAACATCGCTAAAGGGAGCATTGCGATGCAGAAAACCGTTCGCTGAACGACTGGCAGAATTAAAGTACACCGGAGTGTTTCTAGCTTGCCTCTCTACATGAATCAAATCGCATTGATGTTCTACCAATGACAAGAGCACAAATTGAATATGTATACTTAACATGATCGCACAATATAGCTTTATAAATACCCCAGACAACTGGTATTTCATACCTTGGCTTTTGCCAGGATGGCGAAGGCATTCTGAGCGTCCGGGTGTTTGCACTTATCAGGATGGATCATCAGTGATTTTTTTCTGTAAGTTTTATTCAAAACCTAATGAAAAGGAGAAAATTGTTGAATCTTCATTCAATCGCTGACTTGCTTCTAAACTCTAAGATATAACGTGCACTCTCGAACAGAAGTCGGAACGGGGCGAAGGCAAACAGATCAGTTATCCATGAAGTCAATTTTGGCACACTTCACGGACATATGCATTGAAGCACACCAGTAGGTGATATTATATCGACACGTTCTAAGTGGTTACCCGTATGAGTTCTTATTGCGGTGTCGCCGGATATTTATAAAACTCCGCAGTGGTTTGCAATTGGCAATCGAATACAATATGACAAGGATCCCAACAGAACAAGGTCAGCGTGCAAGAAAGACGTACAAGCTTTTTTTTCGCGAATTTTGTGAACAGTTAGCGCAACATTTAAACATACGTCGTCTGGGGTTGTGAAATCAACGCCCAATTGCGCCCACGGATTTAATTTGAAAGCAGATAGCACGCGTGTGACTTCGGAATCTCGTTGGCTTTCAGAAACCTGTGAGGTGTTGTTCAGAGTGATAAAGTGTAAGTTAGCCTGTAACTTCGCAAAAATCATGGGACGCCAAAATATGCAGTACAACAGTGATACGCCGCATGTGAGGCCAGAGTATGGTAGTATGAATGGGAACGAGGCTACATAAATCCACGGTCACAAGACATTGTACGAACCTCACCCATGAGCTTCCGCAGTTCCTCATCCATGTCCTCACCCCCAGTGTCTTTAGCACCTGCTTCTTTTGTCTCGGTCATCATGAATACGCTATGATACTGGTATTTCCAACAACAGGTTTACTTTTTAGGAAACTGATATAAATATGTATGCAATCTATTTACATACACACATACACATATATATATATATGTTTATCAAGATATAAAGTACATTCACATCCGTATTCCTTTTTAATATATATTTCTATAAAAAAACTATCTCACGCTCCGACTGTTCGCACTTCGCACACAAGCGGCCCAGCCCAGGGCCCCAGCCCCCAGAGCTGCAGACTTAGTCGGTAAAGTATACTCAATGTGAATACCTTTGTTTGGGGGACTGGGGGCGAGGAATAATATAAATATGGAGCTAATTCCACACACGGTTGCAAATACGATCACATCGCTGTTTTGAACAGAGATGTAGACGACTTGAGTTAAAGTTATATGGCTTTAACGCTAAATCTATGATCGATAGAGAGCTTCGAAAATTCTAAAAAGTTTCATGTATTGCTAAACTTTCAGACTTTTTGTGTCCAAAAATGAGCTAACTTGGCCTAAGTATAGCTTAAGCATGTCGTGCCCGTATGTTTATTTCCTTAAGAACATTAAATTGCGATAGGTGGTAGCAAGACACTACGCGTAATCAGAGTCCACCATATCGGCGCCGGGTTTTTTCTATGCATCATCAGAAATTGGAAAGTTGACTACCGTGCGCAGGGCTATCGGTCGCGGTATTTCGACTTGAATGTGGGACGTGGCGTCAAGTACGAGATATGAATCTCCCGGATAACCCCGTTTCCGAATTACTCGTTCCACTCTGATTACAGGTAGTATCTATCGCAATTGGATGTTCTTTTGAAATAAAATAAACAGACGGCCATGACATGAAGTTGCACTATAGCTCTTCAGGATGGTAGGAACAGGTTATATATTCTTCTGTGACATACATATCCGTTTTAGCTGCTACCAACGTGATTACGAAGGTTTGAGCTCCACGATACCAGATGTGAATTCTACAACTTGATTGAACCTCAATATACTCTAAATAACAAATATAACTATGTGTGTGTGTGTGATAAGGTGGGCGGTTAACGCTATGATATATTACGAGACTTGGGCATGATAGTCTGAAACTAGAGATTCGTGCATGATAGTGTTTCAAACTAGAGACTCGGGCATGATAGTTTCAAATTAGAGACTCGGGCATGATAGTTTCAAACTAGAGACTCGGGCATGATAGTTTCAAACTAGAGACTCGGGCATGATAGTTTCAAATGCCGAAAAGCACGTCGAAGTACGAACAAAAAAGGAAAGCTGCTATTTTTCACTGATCAATTATACAACGTTCTTTGTGCACCGATAGAGCCAGGCTGGGCTTGAGAATAAGTACTTCTTCTGTTTTGTTAAACTGGCGGTGAACAGGTGCTGCTTTGAAGGGGGATTGGTATCTAATGTTATTAACAGTTGTCAACAGTCCTTCAAGAAACATATAAAAACTATATTATGTATGTTCTTTTATCTAATCCGAACTCGCGTGCACATCAATGATTTGCATAACCGATTGAAAAGTGTATAATTTTCATCAAAACGGGGTAAATACGAACTGGCCTCACTAATGTTGCACAATTGTGGAATGCGAAATTCGAGGCAGTGGCATAGTCTATTTATTTGCATTTTGTGAAGTCCTGCATCAATACATCTTGTGCATGTTTGCAATCGGCATACGGTGTATATACCGAAGCTACTAGGTACATTTATTCTTTTGTATGCGAAATTGTGAATTACGAGCAGGTCTCATATCGAGGTAAATTTTGAAAACTAAACTACATAGCAAACAAACTCCCGTATAGCAAACGAGAGCCTACAAAATACATATTGAAGAGCATAAATAATCTCTGAACTTGCTTGCATAAAGCTTCTGAATCACAACTTCACATTAATATTGTCGGCATATGAAATTAAGAGTTCATCCTGTCGGTCGCTTTGGTTTTCTTCGTATACGATTTGTACACTATACAACATTAAATTATCTTCTCATTAAATTGGTATGGAAAATGAGTCTTCTTTTCCGCCCTCTCTTCTCTTCATTCCACCTGGAGTCTATTAAGATACATATTATTATATACTCACAAGCAATGAGTGCGTGCATTTGAACATGTTGTAAGACGCTAATTGTAAGACACTATATGCAAATGAAATCAACCTTGAAATTGTCAGTAAGTTTGGTGGCTACTCCTAAGGACTAGACCAAAAGGTGGAGCCACCAATACTGTGCATACAACATTGAACAATGCCATGACTCTCTAGAGAGAGAAGAAAAAGTAAGTATATTAAAATATCATAACAGTGGACGGTCACGCATACAAGATGATGGTTATATAACATATGTAATATGTATTTCATCATAGCCTCCTTCAAAATGTTTGAATTTCAAAAGGCCATGATTTCATTTGTATTTATGACCCCTCGAAATCCCGCGCAACCATATTAGGGTTATCAGTGGCAACTTATGTCATCGATCCTTTGTACGCTATTTACTATAGTTCGGTACTTGAGTTTAATTGAAATATATATATTGTATGAATAGTAATATATATATATGCACTATCACATACACACTTGTTGACTACTCGTAGTGAGACGATATGTACACGACAAGCGATGTTTGCTGGTGACCTCTCCATAGGAATCCCTAATATTAAAATTGTATATTCTAAATATCATTTTCAACTAAATTCAAGTTGCTCCTACTCCATCGGATGGGAATCGATTGCTTTTGATAAGCGATAAGAGATACCAATGTCGCGCAACAAAGGAGTCATCAAGAATGCTGGCACTGACTGGCAAGCTGTCACTATTGTCCTGACAACATCGTTTCTGGAGGGCGTCGCCGATTCCCTTGCCTTTCCTAAAGTTTCTACTGTTCTTGAAAAGTATGGCTCGCTTAGGCCGAACGAGTTCGTGGTCTATTTTTCGACAGACATCTAGCACCTAGTGCAAATTCTTTTACTCAATTTTGTATCCTATAGATTCATATATTACTTGCAAATAGTTTATTTGTGTGTGTGTAGTATTTGATTTTTTGCGTTGAACAAGTTAATCCTCACCGGGCGGGTAAGGCTGACTCCCCAGGGCAATTATTCGGGCATACAGATAACATTGTCTTGGGTCAATGTCAATGCTATATATGACAACGCACGCTTTGTGACAGCTAGTCTTTACTCGTGTACATCATTTGTGAGGTTCGCATATTTGACGCCTAGTGTCTTTCTCAGATCTGAACGAATTTCGACGAGGGTTCAAAGATGCGTCATCATCAATCTAGTGCTATTTCTGGGCTGCCTGCACCTTTTGGACGGCTACGTTGTCAGCTTTTTCTACTTTATCCTCAAGACCATCTGGGGCTGGTCTAGTGGTCAAGGGGGTATGTGGTCCATTAAATGTGCTTTGCAAATTTTTTATGTAGTGAAATACCTCGGAACTTTGTCGTACTTTTTAAATTGAGCTGATTACAATCAAGCAGACCAAGTGACCCTTATGATTTCTATATATATATAATCACTTTACCTCATATATCTTTCCGTCTTGTTTGTATTGTACTTGCACTGCGTTGACCATCCTGTCCCATCCGGCTTCAAAGACGAGCCAGAAGCAGCCAAACTTCTTCTTCAGTACACATACAACGTAAGTGTACTATTCTCGATAATGTTCCATTGGTTGCAGTATGGATCATGTTTGCCGTGATATCTTGTATCTCCGACTTCGCGCTGACTACTTTGCTTTATTCCGCAGCTCATCTGGGTGTACCCAATCTACTGCTTGAGCTTCATCCTGAACAGCGTGTGGTATGTAATGCACCCTTTCACGAAGCTTCCGGCCTATTTGCAAGTACCGCCGCTTGGTGTACAGTGTTTGATTAGGTTTCATTTTATAACCCATTATGCAGGTTTGCCTCACCATGAGTCGTTCTGTCTGTTCGTTTACAATAGGTACCAAGATATAGCAGAAGATACTTATAACTTGCTTTTCAACGGATCCAGCACTCGCGAGAGAGCAAGTACTAATGTGTATGTGGCACCTTTTGCGTGCTAACGTTTTACACGGTCGATTGAATCGCATTTTGTGCATCTTCGCTGTTACCCTCAGTACGTATCGCACAATTTATTATTCTTTGCTTCTGTTGTCCAGATCCGTCATCTCTGCCATCAGCTCCAAAGCTGCAGAAACTACAATCAGCTTGTTGCTGGAAACCATGGTCGCGCTTCTTGTAAGTATGTCGCTTGTATATTCGGCTAAGCTAAGGTCCCCTCCCTAGAAGCTATCATTGTACAGAGCTTTTATGACTGTTACTAACTTCAACTTTAACATGCCTTGTACCTACAGGTAACCGGTCTGAATCTGGTACCACACGTGGGACCCACACTCAGTTTCATCCTGATGTGTTGGTTGTACGCGCTTTACTGCTTTGAGTATGTTCAGCTCTGCGGGCTTCATGTGTTAACCTTGAATTTCGTAGTACTAGAAGGCAGTTTCGCGGTTTTCATAGGCATTGGATGATACTATTTCTCAAAACCCACTTCTATCGATCTCTGCACCGAGTTAGATTTAAATGGAGTTCCTTCAGATGGTCGCTTGATAAAAGGCTAGCCTTCATCGAAGACCGCTGGCCATACTTTCTCGGATTCGGTATGATACATTGATTCGATTTTCTCGACTTTATACCTTCTTTCATTTCCATCTTATGCTTCTCGCTAATAGTTTGAGTTCTTGTCAACTTCTTGGTCGTTTATGAAAAGAATTCGTGCTTTCGACCCTATTGACTATCAGGTTTGCCGTTGAGTTGCGTTACTGTCTTCTCGTCTCGATTCCTCAGCAGCGGACTGTTTGCGATACTTTATCCAGCCTTTCTAATTTTGGCAACAGCGTAAGTATTTACTGTAAAGCACCCCAACAACGATCCGCTTAAACATACATCTTGATTATATGCAAAAATATATATATATATATATACTATAGATTTCCTTCACTACCTAAGTAACCGATAACGTTCAAGCTGATTGTTCTCCCTTACATGCAGGACCAACCCAGAAGCCCGTTCTTCAGAATCAAAGGCCCCGTTTAGGATACCGATATTCACACTACCACAGCTGATCAACAAGTGCTTCTTTTTCTTCTTCAAATAAAAATAGCTCAGCCTCGTCTGAGAAGCCGAAGCGCCCTTCATACCGCTAAGTGAAAAGGTCATCCCGACGCGCTAGTAAGACTGTAATCATTAGATTAAGTCAGAATATAAGCAATCCTAGAGACTATGGTAGTGATAACTGTGCTGAACTGCTATTACTGTGAAGTTATAAAAGATAAAAACACGTGCTAGTCGTATAATATATCACCATTGAAAGAGTACAGACCAACTACATCAGAAGTGAACAGAACAAAGCTGTATCACAAGCGAGATATAACAAGGTATGGTTGTTTATGTATAAACCTCGTTTCTGGTCATGTGTAACAAGGTATGGTTGTTTATGTATAAACCTCGTTTCTGGTCATGTGTAACAAGGTATGGTTGTTTATGTATAAACCTCGTTTCTGGTCATGTGTAACTAATATCCATTGAATCCGCCATACGTGGGGGGTCCCGCACCCATCATATTCATACCACCGCCCTGTGGCCCAGGTCCACCCATACCAGGAGCCATCATGGGATTCGACGGGCCCATCGTAAGCATAAGCGTTTCCTGGTTACCGTACATAAGCGGTTGAGGACGAGCCTCAGCCTCTTCGTCTTGCTCAATCTTTGTCACCTGGAACTTCTTCAAGTCGTCAACCTGTAAGGATAGGTGATGTGTGGAATCGAATGTGAATCCGTGACTAGATATAATAAGATGGTAAAAGAAGAAGTGCATATACAATACATTCCAGTACCTATCGCGAGAGATCTACATACCTTTGTCAAGTATTCGCGGACCACTTGAATGACGTACGGCATAGCGTAATCTAACAAGTTGTTCTTCCACGAGGTCTCCAGAACAACGTCGGGGCGGAGCAAGTCGTAGCATGTGTACAAGGTAGCTGTGAAACAAGGATAGTTTTGTAGTCCAACGAAAAAGTTGAGTAAGTTCTCAGCAGTTTCGGCATCCTTGGACTCGGCGGCGTATTCGATAGCGTCCTGGTATAAACTGTCTTCCTTGACAAGCGCGATTGCCTGCTCCCAGCGGCCGTTCTTTTTGAATAAGTAGGCTGCAATTCTCCTGAACTCGATCAGCTCGTGCTTCTCCAGGCGGATAGCTAGAGCCACCGCATCGACGTTATCGTAAGAATCGAGCGACTCTCGTAGGGAAGTGTAGTCTTCCTCGGCGATCAAGAGGTCGTTGAGATTCTCGTTCACAGCAGTGATATTCAACTCTTGTACTTGTTGCAAGTATGCCTTAATCAAGGGAAGGTGGCCGTTCTGTTCCGACGTGAAATATAATAAGAATATGAGTGCCGGATTTGTTTTCTAATAGGTGAATATATCCCGATACAGGCCTTTAATTATGACTCTACTTCTAGGTATTTACTGGAAAAGCATGCAGCATGAACAATCTTGGTATTCACAAGCAAGTGCAGACGAGTGCGCCGGCCTGCGGTTTAATAGCGGGATTACGGAGATGTACATGTACGAAACAAAAGACGCGTACAACCACAATCAAGCACGGAAAACATCCGCATACCTTTTTAAACATCCCTACGGTGCGTGTATGATCTATACGGGGGATAAGTACCGTCAACAGTTCTGACAGTTGAAGTGGGCTGAAGTGAAGGAGGGGAAATGAGGTTGTTGGCTTATCCAGATAGACGAATCAGTAAAGAGAGTCGTTACAGTGCAAGGTTAATATACAATTATAAATGGTAAATAAACAGCGTGGCTACATACCTGAAATTCAAGTAGAAAGTCATTGACTTGTAGAAGTTTTCTGAGTTCCCACATTTCGTGATTATGTCCTTAAACTGTCCGTGGTCCCAAGCGTCGGCAGGGTGCTTCATCATAGCGTTGGCAGCATTGTCATACTCGTCATAGTGCGTGTATAAGAAGACCAACTCCTTCCACAAGTGCGCGTCTTCGGCAGCTCGCAACACCTTCGGGATATTCAGCCTTGACCAAAATAGTTTGAGATGTTCCATCATTTTTTTGGGCTTGTGCTGTGAATATAGAATGGCCAGCTCGGTGAACATACCCATATGCGCACGCTCGAGACCAAGTCCAGCTTCCAAGCACGAGATTAACTCATCGAAGTGTCCCCGGCCGGAATAGTGTTGGATCAAATCCTGAAGCTCATCTGCGTGAACAATGATGTGTAAGGCTGCAACCTGAGCGAGACGGAACTCCTGATCACCCACACAAGCGAAGCACACTTCCTTCCACGTCTTTGTGCTGTTGGCTTTACGCGCACTATCGATAGCGGCCTGGTATTGTTTAAGCTTGACCAGCGTCTGAGAAAGTCTGGCGAAGTTGTTGACATTGCTGAAGCAGAGCTTAGCCGCCTCGAACATATCAGCGTCGTAGCACCTGTCTCCAACATCCTGAACCTTAGCCAACACATTCGACCCGTTGATGAACTCCTCCAGATCAGCGAGACGATCACACTTGGCGTACGCAAACACTAGCTCAGTCTCAATGAAGGGCTCGCGGGCTTTCAGTCGTGCCATGTTCAGGAATCTAACTAGATCCTCGAACTTCTCGTTTCGTGCACCCACCTCACACACCTCGATGTAGTTAGAGGGATCGTCAGCCTTGATGTATGAATCAATAGCTTCCTTCACCATGTTGTTGTCCAACTGCGCTTTGGCGAGGATGGAGTACACCTCTGGCTCGTTGCAGCGCTCTGCGAACTCATAGGCACGATCCAAAGACGCGATGTGCTCGATAAGAACTTGGATACCACTCGTGTTCACCTCGAACTTCTTGTAAATTGTGAACGCCTCTTCATACAGCCCAGAGCCGATAGCGATGTTTGCAATATCGGGGGCATCGTAGTTGTCAAGTCTATTCACATAATCCATGACACGTGAGGAATCAGCCTTGATGGCTGTGAGTATGAGAAGATTCTGCAAATTACGGTTGTCACTGAAAGCCGAGTTATCTAGCACAATCTTCTCCAGTAGCTCGATCAATTCGTTCGGCAAATCAGCAGTCATGAACGCCTTGACGGTCATCGAAACATCCTCGGGATCCCCACTCTCAGGCAGTGCGGTCTGAACAACCTGGTCAATGATCTGACGCCTGAACTCGTTCTCAGGGTCCAGAACCTTCGCCCAGAGGTCGGCCTCTCTGCGCGCAACCAAATAGCGTGCTTCTGACTTGAACAGGCTATTCGCGTTACACACCTCGATCAACTCGTCATCGCACTGTCCGCGCTCGTAAGCAACAAACGCCATGTGAGGATCTCGCTTCTCACAGTACTGACCGACGACCAAAGAATCATAATAAGGATTCTCCTTTAGGAATCTCTCGGGACTCTGATTCGCGTCAATGTAAATCTTGGCCAGAGCATTATGGACTCCGGGATCTTCACTGCCGGCTGCCAACTGCTGCTCCAACCAAGGCTGGATGAGCTTCAGGCGATTACGCTTGGAGACCTCCTCAGCCAATTCATTGACATCAAAGGGACCCTTCACACTCAGGATCAGATTCTTTGTGATCTCCTCGTTACAGTCCACATCCAACAGACCACCGACCACTTGAGGGAGTCGACCTGTGTTCACCTTCTGCACATAGATCTCGATGTACTTCTGCAAGTTGTTCTTGTACAGGTGGAGTACAAGATCGTGCACAAAGTCGAATCGATCGCAGACGATGATCAGGGGTAGCTGATCCGTAAGCTTAGCCTCTTTCAAGAAGTTCTTGACCCTCTCTGGATCGTATGCATTACTTTCTCTGCAGATTCGCTCAACTTCTTTGATCTGCCCTGTCTTAGTGGCAGCTTGAATGTACTTGAAGTGAACCTCGGACTCTTGTGAGAAGTTCACGATAGATCCCAAGAAATAGAACAAGCCCTCAGAACTCTTGAAGGACTCAAACATATCGATTAGCTGATCAGTTCCAAGTTGCTCGTGATACTTAGAAGCAATTTGGACAACTAGCTGCAGATTCTGGCGCATGTTGGAGGTCAACATAGCTTTGAGGCACTCCATCGAGTCCTCGACCGATAGTGTGCCGAAGTAGTTGATCATGAATTCGGGGTTAAGCAAGTGGGTGTGCACAATTGCTCGCTTGATATCGAAGATATCGGTGTAGTGTTCAAGAGCTCTCTGGAATAAGCCTGCATTCTCACACAGAGTAGCGACGTAGTTGCGGTCGTAGTGCGTAAACATATTGTTGCCAAGAATGGCATCGGCAACTTGAGGTGCAGCCATTAGATTCATCTCAAGGAGACGAGTCTGAAGCGCCGCCTCCTCCTCCTTATCACCCTTAAGTGCTTCCAAAAGGAAGGCTGTACATTGCTGTACCATGTTCATCTCCATGAAAGTGTCTACAACCTGATCGATTGGCGCTAGACACTCGCCCCCGTCGCACAACATGTTAGCAAACTGTGCTCCAGAGTCAGGGTTCACTCGCATAACCTATCAGACACAAAGAGGAAGTAAAATTCCATTGCATGAGTACTCCTCAACTTTTAAAGGAAATTATACGATAACGACCACTATCATTTTTCGACGCGTTCTGTGTATATAGTGTGTCATATCTTTGAAGTATGAAGTTACTGACGACAAAGTCAACGCAGATAATACACGTGTTAAAATTACCTGACGTAAAAGGAAAATCCAGTCGGGTGTGTAGTCCACCTTTCTGGCGTACAGAACGATCTTCTGGAACTGACCAGTTTCAGCGAAGCATTGGATGACCTTATCCGGAACCTCGGAACGAAGGTATACTGAGAGTGCAAGCATCGGAACGTACTGCTTAACAATGTCTCCGAGCTCTTCACTGCACTCCAGCTGAAAATAGACGATGAGAAATGGAGAATACAGCAGATGAGAACAGAATTGCGTCTAAAAACTTAGCATTTGTTTCTTCTTATATTATTTTTTAGCAACAGTACGTATATATTGTCACCTATTGAATCCTTCTCATATCACACTTATCCATATGTATAATACCACCATGACACGCAAATTACTTTTGAGTATCTGCCAATTCATGCCACTCAATCCCAAAAACAAGAATCCTTATCTATTATCACTAAGATACATATGTTCGTTGCTAATATGTATCAATGAATGGACTCACTCGTTCCTAAATCATCATCATACACGCATTCGTGATTTCAATAAAAACTTATAATTCCTCGTCCTGATTACAGAATAGTACAAGATATTCTTCATACAACTATTCATTCACACTTCAAATAATGGTTGAAAATATAAGTCAGATATTCGTTTCCGCGTGTACGTTTCCGCAACCAGCTTACTAAAACAACTCATCTCTGTTGCCACTAGAATTGTACTAATCGTAATGCCAGTTAATAAATATCCGAGAAATTGTGTACTCACCTTGTCCTCCTTCAGCCACTTCTCAACCAGTTGCTGTCTACCTTGCTGAAGTACAGGTCTAGCCAGTTCGATGGATTCTTCTTTGTTCAAGTGGCCCTTCTCCAACAGGATACCGAAGTACTGCAGAAGCGGAGATGTTTGTCCTGGGGGTACCTGAACGGACTGGAACTTCGAGATAGTCTCGGGAGTTCTCAGCGCACCCTTTGGCGCATTTGCTGCAACTTTAGCAGCCTCTGAGTATTGTCCAGCACTGAATAACTGATTGAAACGCTGTACGAACAAGTCATCGGCTCCCCCTAGATTGTTTCTAATGGCAAAGCGCACTGATAGCTGCGAGTTGTTCATGGTGTTCTGAATGTATGGAATGATGTTTGCCTCGTCCACAGTCACTGACAAGACTTGACCCTTTCTGTTGATACCCATACAACCTCCGGTGCTGTCCTGTTTTGTGGTGACGAAGATTGTCTCCGAGGAGATTCTATTCATGTATATGCACGCACCGCTCTCCACATCGTACATATGAACGTATCCGTACTTCGTGATCATGTATAGCACACCGTAGCGGTCACTCATTTCCATCGCCACCGGGAAATCGTTCTGGAACTCGGGAGGGAAAAACACATCGGCCAACTTCTTGGGAAACGGTTGATTTCCGGCAGGTGCTGCGGGCTCGATGATATGCAGCTATAGCAATATATATATGTGTGTGTGTGTGTGTGTGTGAGTGAGCTGTAGCAAGGGTGGGATTACAATTTCCATGGGTTTCATCCCTTTCATTCATGACAGACAATACTCGAGGCCTGAGAGAACTACTAACGTGGTGTAAGTATATGTTGGTCTCGAGGTTACATGAAAAATCGCACCTGCACATGTCACTCAAATGGCCACGTAACCATTGCCAGGGGACGATGAAAGCGCCCAAAGGGGTACAATTTGAATGAAGATAAGTAAACCTAAGTACGTTAAGTAAACATCACATGGTTCGATCAGAGCTAACCAGGATCTCTCGCAAAGCCACGACTGCTGTCAAACGAACGAATATGAAACATTGATCCATGAAAAGTTCAATCAGACCATCACTTATTGAAGCCACTATATAGTTGTAAAACATATCCACTCCCGTTTTGAGCCAAACCAACCAATTATCAACATATGAACAAAGTGTCACTCAGCCGAATAAAATTCGGTTTTCTCACTATTCCTGTATACGCCTATGGAACATAACTAGACGGCCACATGCACGATTCCCAAAAGAACGGCAAACTATACATTCACTCGACAGCAAGTGTTTAAAGCCAGTTAGATTAAAAGTGAACCTACCTTGCCTCCTTGGGGACCGCGCACGGCGAAACAGAACAACTTGGACTTTTGTGCATTGCCGTCCATTTGGAACTCCGCGAAGGTGCAGGCATGGGCTTCGATCGCCTGACTAACACCACGTTCTACAGAGAATAGCTGACACGCACCAACGACTCGCTGCTGTCCTCCCTGATTGGAGGCTGCGATGCCGACTAAACAGCACCACTTCTTATCCACATCAGCCCGGTACTTAATGATTTGACTATTAGCTAGGTTAGCGTGACGGTCAAACATCTTCGCTGGCTGAGAGTCGCCATCCATACTCCAGTGGAAAACGGCAGTGCCTGATTGAGTGGAAAATCAACACTAGATTTTAGACATGAAGACTAGACATGAAACATATAACAACTTTACCGGATGGCGACTGTCCTCGTAGTGGATGGCTCGCCAGGATACAAACAAGACGTTATTCATGGCTATCAAAAAGCACGACACCGGCAACACAATCACACAGGTATAGACATTGTCGGACGAGTGTGTTGTGCAAACTGTTATGTCTTATACGTACGTATCGTTGTCCCGTGGATGGAACACGCGAACCCTACATGCTAAGTTTGCGCTAACCCATAATCTACAAGTGTAGTGCAATACAGAAACAGATAAAATCCAACAGCTCTCAAATAAACTAACTCGCGGCTGCACATATAAGATGCAACCCGGACGACATGTTCGATATCAGTTTGAACCCTACCGTAGCACAAAGAAAGCTCAACTCAAGACACAACCAATTTTGCGGCAAAATTCATATAATGAAGCAATTTTGGCTGCAGCTAAAGACAACAACTTACCAGTAACTAGACCTACGGTTCTAACGTCGACCCAAGTCCAGTATACAACATCTTCATCCATCAGATGTGATTTCATCTTGCTCTTGAGCTCCAAGTTAAAAATTTGAAGAGTTCTTCCCGCTATTATCAAATACCAAAAAAAAACAAGCGGTAATGAAGTTAGTACAGTTCCATAAATCACGTGAACGCATTAAGAGTGCAAGCCTGGATTAATGATTGCGGGGACGCAGAACGATGCTAGCACACACGAACGCGGAAAGCCTAGAACAATTTTATTGTCTCGTGCAGAACAGTATAAATGTCGGAATATTAACCACTCAGTGTATGTATGAACATATATACAAACTACCTAGGTGGTAGTAAACATAACCACACGATATAACCTCGCGCAGAAGTTCTGGTTGAGAGATTCTGGTTGATATCCAAATACCTATATACTTGCGCTAAGTGTATAGAAGGAGAAAATCGCTAATTACCTTTCAAAGCGATAACCTTTGAGGATGGATGCATAATAGCAGAATCGGCTCCGATTGGACGGCGCACGGGAGTGTTAGGATTAGCCATATCCACGATGACAACCTGCTGTTGCTCGCCAACCTTCTCCCGAATGGTTATGAATTTGTCACTCTCCATCGTGAGGGTGGTGAACCCTATGTTGGCTGCTTGAATACCTACATTTTGCAACTGAAACAGATGACATTATGTACACCGTTAACAAAGCGATAGTTGTATGTCACAGGTGAAGTCGCACAGGATTGATGCGTTAGTATAAATTCACACCTACGAAATACTAACGCGCCAGACAGGAGAAAACAAATACAAAAAATATATATATATATAACTATAACTCACATTTAAGTGCTCCTTAAACTTAATGGGTAGAGTTTGTGCCATTGTGCTGAATCGACTCGGCGAACCCTTTCCTCTCTCCCTTCCTTTTAAAGTGATTGGCAATCAATAACAAAGGCACTATTTCGGTGATAAAAATAGATGGTAGTTGTGGTGGATGTGCTACTGAAATTATTCAGATTCTTGAACCGTTCACCAGTCCTCCGACAGATGCACTTCCATATACTTCGCGTTTCCACCTCTCAATATAGCGCAAGTGTTATAGGTACTACGCTACAATACCTAAACTTGTGTGGTACACGTCCACACTATTTACTGTTTATCTTATTTAAGATAGATACGAGTTTCATCCATATACATATATCCTGCAATTAAAATAAAAACTATATGCAGAATTAAAAACACAATATATTTGGAAAAAGTAAAAACAAACAAACAGAAACGAACACTCTGACTCACAGTAGGGCTACCCAAATTACATAAATAGTATATATAAAAATGCGAAATGTATTCTTTTTTTTATAAAAACACTAGTGTACTTCTGTGAGGGTCTGCCGCCCTGGGCCTCTGGCCCTTGCCCGGCTGCCCTTCCCATACTCTAGGTTTCCTCTTCTTTAAAAATACTCTATCGCTCTACACCAGAAACTGTGAGAGTGTGAGAGAGCTTTTGTGCTTTTTTTGTATAATTGTTTTATTTTAATATTACAAAAACAGACGTCCGAGCCTGCCTCGAGGTTCGACTGTTCGAGAACCCATTTATTTATTTTTCTAATAGTGGCTTAGATTTTATTTATTTTCCTTTTTATTTAGGTTATGGGCTGTGGGCCTGTGGGCTGTGGCTCAGGACCTCAGCCCTCAGGTCTCTCAGGACGACAGGTCACAGACTCTCAGCCTCACAGCCCACAGGTCACAGCCTCACACACGGAGGGGGGGGGGGGGGGAATGGGAAGTCTGGATTCTGGAACAAACTTGTATTTGTTTTTTGTTTTTTACGATTTCTAGAAGGCTCATGCCTATGTGTTTAAAATGAATGGACTCGAAATGACTTGAAATTGGATCTATTGTTTCTTTTTAAAATAGACTAAATATCGAAATCCCCTAGAGTGGATGCGAAAATATTTCCTTCTTTTGACCTGAAAAAGTTTGGAATTGTATATATCTCGAATATTTTCTTGCATGTTTTGGTAAGTAGTGGAAATAAAAATTTACCAATAATTTAATATAAAACCAAGCCTCCAAAGCCAATTTTAGAACCAAATGACCTGAAATAGGGCTGCCCAGGATACCTACTTCTCTTTTTAGTAATTGTGCCTCAGAAAAAAATAGTTTCTTTGAAGAAAATTTTAAAAATTAAAAATAAATAGGGCCTTGCAGTTTGAACTTTTTATTTTTATAAAAAACAAAAATATCAATACTATTTATTTGTCATCAGTTTTCGTTTGTTTCCTTAAAGATTAAATACCCTTCTTGCATAGCCTACTAAATAAAACACTTCTTGAACAAGACAAACATGCTCACCGAATCTATTTTTAGGGTACATTTTTTGGAGGCACACACATGACAGTTATGAGTGATGACACATCGACTGTTGAGCAAAACCAAAAAATGTACCCCTTATCGGTTGATCCTAATCTAACAAGTATTGTGTGCACACATATAGTTATACTGTAGTGTTATATGTCACAACCATGGCTTCACCCCTATGGCATGAGATAGACTGCGTGTTACAGATGCAACACTCCGACAACACAGCCAGAAGATTGGATATTTTATTTGAAGTGTAATACTGTGGCACACAGATTGCACCTTAGGTGAAACTGATCATCAACCAGTGACTGTAGAATCAACCCATAGATCAGGTTGTTGCTTCGGTAGAAACCGATACTCTGGTTGTCGTAGATGTCGCTGTCGTGATACAGTTAAAAGCCGCTTGGCACTTTGATTTATTATCAGTTCTTAATGGTAGAAAAGAAAATTGTTCCATTAGATGCTTGAAATGGGTTCTGAGATTTGCCGTTCGAGATGTATTGTTATAATATGTTCAAATTTCATAAGGCTATGTCTTTACAGACGGGTCTTGGCCTCTTGACCTCTTGGCGACTTGGTCTCTTCTTGTGCCTCGTGTGGGGAATGAGATTATATGAAATATAAAAAGGCTACCTATATTTTTTTTGGATATACATCATAGCAATTTTGAATATAAAGGGAAGGATATCTATAAATAAATATATATATATATATATATATATATATATATATATATATATATATATATATATATATATATACAAATAATATATATATGTGTGTGTGTGTGTGTGTGTGTGTGTATGTGTGTGTGTGCGTGTGTGTCTGTGTGTGTGTGTGTGTGTGTGTGTATGTATATATGTATATATGTATATATATATTATATGAACCTTCGTTCTCAGTACGTTGATTGCTGGCGGTGACATACTCGAGGCTATTCTTACTAAAAACACCTGGCCATGATCCTCGAGTAGAAGAAAAATATAAATAGAACCAAAATATAAGGGATCGAACGAAGTAACTTGCCTCATTCTACTAGTCAATACTCAAGACTACTCAGGCGTTTTCATTAACTAATAAGGGTGTATGTTACTGTCAACTTAAAGACAATATGTCTTGTGAGCTAGTGTGAACTAAATACTGTGTTTATCAGATTAAATATCTAGAAATCAATATGTTACAATGTACCAAGCAAAGGATAGCAAGGTACTGTCACCTGTACAACTCACCCTTCAATACAATTCAGTGCATCTATGGAATGCTATCCGTAACTTTCAATAGAGCAGAATTTGTATAGTGTATAACAAACGCTGTTCAATTCGGTTGAAGCGAAGAATATTATCACACCGCATATGAAGAGAGAGCTGTGGTTGACGGAATAAACAGTTGTACATGCTGCAAAGTCTCAACTTGGCTATTTTCACAAGTAAGAGTTGGTCTAGTTCTATTAATAGAACTATATTTACTTTCCAACTTTATTTGTATCTGAATACTTCGGTAGCGAGATGGCTCAACCGAATATAGGTTTCTAGGGACTATTAACGTTACCTAGTTGATCCTCCGATCAGCCAACCAGATGTGCCAGTCTAATGAAGGCTAAGTCGGTAATTCTTGATAAGTGGCAAGTTATTAGTTAAGACAAATAACTAAGGACATCAAGAGTGATTTTCTTCTTTTTTTCTAAAGATAGGATTTTATGAGTCTCTCAGATTCCCCCCAATGAAACATACCATAGTTTCTAATAGAGCGACAACGAAACACTAAATAAAATCCCTTCGGCGGAAACAGTACTGAGAGGATTATATATAGGCAATGTCTCAGACTCACAATCCCTCAGAGTATTGCTGTTTTCACGAGGAATACCTAACTTTACTAACCTGAACCCTAAAACAAGACCACAGGGATAACCAGAAGTACAACGGACAGATCAGTCAACTTAAGTCGAACTGGGATGCCAACAGTAAGCAGGTCGAGTTTATAAACAACCATGACCTCGACACGCTAACCCGTGTGCTTAATGCGTTTATGGTCATGCTGTAGACGAATGATATCGCTCCCCAGCAATGGATCTCTGCTTTAATGCAGACGTTTGACCACTTCCCCATATTTATTTTTCACTTCCCCATATTTATTTTTCACTTCCCCATATTTATTTTTCACGACGGACCTTTGATTCAAATTTTCGCCTCCGAAACGTAAATCTCGGTGACCAGTAGGTCACCAGTGTAGAACTGAATACCACTTTCAAAAAACCCCACAGAACCCACCAAAACGTTGACTTGAAATTTGGAATTTCAATCAAAAAAATTATTTATCCAGTAGGGAGTCTGGGGACCCACAGTCCCACAGTCCCACATCCGCGAAAAAATGTCGGGCCAGGCCGAATCCCCAATTGAGACGTTCGTCCCCAACGACTCCTTACCCAATGACCAATGGAAATTGGACATACAAAAATCTATCACAAACCTCTCTGCCCAGGTCAGTACTCTACAGGCCAATCTCAATCAAATTTTGGGACCGGCTCTAACAACCCCGAACAACCTTTGACTGATGACCAATGGAAATCAACCATACACCAAATGCTCACTAACCTCTGTGCAAAAACAACCAACCTTGAATCCAAACTCCGGGACCTTAAATCCCAAACCCGTGCACCTATAGATGAAGACACACCCGACACTTTCCGATTTGGCTCCACAAGCCCGCCTGTTCCGCCTGCAAAAAGACCGCGGTCACAGGCGCCCAATAGCAGCAGTGAGCCTCCCAGCTACCGCTCAAAAATTGACAAACCTGCAAAACCGAGCCCTAAAAAACGCCCGACCCCACCAGCTTCTCAGTCTCAATCGCAGCCGCCAGTACCCGAACACCTTTTGACGAAAGTGGGGGGCCGCCCGATGCCGGACAAAACTCTTCATGAAATAGATGACATAACTCCGGTATGGCTCTTCTTCCGAGCAATTTTCTCTAACGGCAAGCCCCTATCCCAATCAGTATTGAAAAATACTGGCATACCCAACCAGCCTTCAATCGCCACCACTTTCTCTGGTATCTTCAGTCTAAATCGGTATCTCAACCAAATCGCCGCGGAAGCTCCACCAGTTTCATCCACCTTTGTGTTCCTAGCGACTCTGTCGCCCAGGTGAAATGACATGCAGCAACTACATGTAAATGGCAGCTTGATGAAAACATTGACCTCCGCTCCCAACAACATCCCGACGCTACGAAAGCAGCTTTAATTCACTATCTCCGCACCAAGCGGGAGGCCCGCTGCACACATGGACGAGCGCCAAAAATTCTTGCCCGCAGCATTGATGCACTACTGAGCCCACTTGTCAACTCCACTAAAGCAGACATCCTCCAATCTACCGCGGACTGTCTCCAGAAGACTTACTAAGCAAAGCATGATGCAAACCTCTTCTCACTTAACCCGCGAATCCCAGTAAATGCTAAAGAATCAGCGCGTGCGAAACCCGGACGACTTCATATACCAACGGTCTCCCCGACACAATCATCCGTCACGATGGATAGCAATACGCAGCCTCAGCTTTCCACGATGGGCTCTTCGACGACAGGCAATGATATAGAAATGGCTGACATCGTCAAAGAGGAGAGCCCAGTTGTATTGACCGATGATGAAAAATGTTAGGACCAATGAGGATGACGCTCTTCATCCCACAAGGACTCAACATGGACAACACAGCACATACAGATAAGCGTTTGAACAATATATCGATTTTAAGTCAGGTTGATGTTATGTGAGTGGTTGAAACCTGGCATAACACCACAATCATATGCGCTCGAACACACGCTATCATATACTACATCACACTACACGGCACAATATCTTACATCCTTCACACTGTGGTATTGATATTTTTCCA